GATTCACAACAAAAAACAGTACAATGCATTGGGTGTTTTGCCTTTGGAATTGCCGACAAAATGCGTTATCTATTAAAACTTGCAACTCGTATACATAACGATACACACTCATACAAAACGTATAGATGTACACGCACCACACATCGCATTAAATCGCAAAACAATTCCAATCCGGTGAGGTTGCGACCGGATCGCCTGCCCCAGCCAAAGCCAAAACCAAAGGGAAAGAGACAAACGCAACAGCAGCAGCAGCAACAGCAATGCACATACACATCCGTGGATTTCTTTTGTGTTATCATCGTTAAAATAATAATCAATAAATAAGAATAAAACGAAAAATTTGTTGCTGTTGCACTGTTGTTGTTAAGACAAGTAATAAAAGACAAATCAACGAGCACAGAAGAGAGCTGAGAGAGAAAATAAAACAAACACACACACACACACACACACACACACACAGAGAGAGAGAGAGAGAGAGAGAGAGCCAAGGAACATGAACGACCAAAGTAAAATGCTACGGATCGATCCGCCGGGGAAAAAAAATGTAAAAAATGACCCTATTATGGACGACGGCATGTACAAGTTTTCATGTAGTAATGCAAACATTTGTGTATCTTTATGTGATCGTACATAATAAACGCATTTAATTATAGTTCGATTTACGTTCGATCGACGTGCTTATTCGCACACATGCCGCCATCGCCACCGCCGCTGCCACCACTTTGATATGCCTTTTCCACGAAACAACGAAAAAAAAAATCGGCCACAAACTATGATGCAGCCCGTGCACGGGACAAGCTGGTTTGTTTTTTTATTTTCGTTGGGAGAAAGAGAGAGAGAGAGAGAGAGAGAGAGAGAGAGAGAGAGAGAGAGAGAGAGAGAGAGAGAGAGAAAAAAGCCGCCAACGAAACCGATAACAATGCCAACATTTAACAACAGCAACAGTTAGCTAATATTTTCAATAAATTAAAACCAAAGTGCGCGTGCGCCTTCGCTCATTCGCTTGCCATTTAGAAGACCAATGTTAAGCACGGCAACGAAACCTCAGAACACTGGACTCGAAATCGATACATCGTTTACTGTGAAGCCAGTACCGAACACATTCTCTAGAGATTTCAATAGTTGGAATATTTAAAAACAATTTATCAAAATGAGAAAAAAGCGGTCGTTTTTCTTTTTTTTGCATCGAGTTTTGTACTCATTTGTCGACAATCGATTCATTTTTCTCGCTGCTAATTTTCGTTCAATTGACGTATTACTTCACTACGAAATCGAGTGAACTATGCTCGCTGCGCACAAATGAACATAGTTTCGGCTGTTTAGATGAAATGCCCACATTTTCGAAAACATATCAATCAAAGGACTTTGACTAGTTGAAATTCCGGCTTACCTGTGCACCTTCCGCGCATACGGTGATCGACCAAAAATAGCACAAATATCGACAAATTACTCGATGATCGGAATGTTCTCGATCGTTGTTTGTTTTTCGATTATTGAACGCATTATCAGAAAAAACCAGAAATTGATATCACAAATCAATTCGATTTAGTTATGGTGGATAAAATGCCCGGTGCTACTGCTGCGTCATTCGAAAATGCCAATTATATTTATCTCTGCTGCTTCACATGCACCGAACAAGACAAGAGAAACTAGAGTATTTTGTGGTGCCACATTTGGTTGTTGTTGTTGTTCGTTTGCTATTTGAGTCGATCAATGCTCGAGAAAAATAATTGCACAGTTATTATTCCTTCTCTTCGGCTATATGTAACTAATAGTTGTAGCGATGGTGGCAGCGGCGACGGAGGCACTGCTGCTGCTGCTGTGGAGTACCCGTCAACACGGAACAACATTAACACCAACTAAATAACACAAAAAGCCACAAGTAATATTAATATTTGCATTTCGTCTCTCTTTCTCGCGGCTTACAGACAAATTAATAGGAAACAATGAATTAATGTTGAGCAATTAATCTTGCAGTTTCTTTCTCGAAAAATTAAGTGGCAGTGATTTATGAAAACCTTTCTTGTTGTGAGTATATACTGTTGCATGTGTTGCTCCGTACTCATGTGTCCGAACACACGCACACACACACACACCGCTGAGTGTGCCGCGAATGCAAGTTGAAGCGTGGAGGCGCGAGCGCGCGAGAGAGCCACCACAGAATACAAAATGTGTTTGGGAAAGTCTTGGCGCGGAAAATAATACAACAAGCTACTAATGAAAAATGGTTTATTTTCGGTTCGCACTCAATATTATTTCGCATTATGGACACAATTTGCTCTGCTCCATCTCTTCCTCTCTGTCTTTCTCTGTCCTGATCACCCGCTCCGTTGATCGCTCGTTTGCGCTGTGAACATCAATTTATTCACATCTACATCGATATAACCAAGTAACCCCCTAACGAATTTATTTGTTTTCAACTTGGTCTTGTCCATTTTGAACTCGATTTTTCTTCGTTTGATTCTGAGCCCGGTGCACGCGCGCACGCTCGCGCGGTTCGTGTGTTTTCATTTTTCACAAAGATAAAGTCAAATCGATTTCCAAAGCAAACGTGAACGATTTGTTACACACTGACCACATCAAAAATGAAAAAAACAGAAAAAAAGACTCACCGAGAGTCGATTGAGATTCTTCTCGGTGCTCAAAATGAATAGAATAAGAAAAATAGTAATTCTATACGCTTCCACGAGGGAAAAAAACAACACTGTACTCCCAAGTCATCGAAGAGAGAAAGAAAACAAAAACAACGATCTCTGCACGGACATTCCATTAATACATGAGTGTAGTGCATGCAAAATATATGGAAATATAATGAGATGTAAAACGATTTGATAGTTCAATCAGTTAAGGAAGCCAGAGGTTAAGAAAAAAAAACATAACACACAACAACAACAGATATTATGTATATATACACACCAAAATGTGATACTTTCGAGAGACAAGCAAGATCATAAGCACATGGCTTGGATCATTGGAGAGAAAAAAATAATCACATTGAACATCCATAGCTTTACCGTCAAATAGACGCAACTGAAGAGCGAAAAAAAAACGATCGTTCAAAAATAATGACCCAAGAACAACAAGTAATACGAATATGAAACCAAAAGAATGAAAATACATGTAACTTGGGCAGAAGAGAGAAAAAAAACTGTTCATTGTTTTGAACTCCATCGCTGTTTTCTTTCTTTCTACAACTGAATTTCTCCTCAAATTACTATCATTATGTACGAAAAATTTCTATTCGGGCATTCCACAACGAAAAAAATGAGCTGCGCGTCAAATGGACTGGTAGTGTGTGGAGCGTGTGTATCATTTGGTGGATTCACTGCAATGTAATTGACACCATGGTGTTAGATATTAGATGCTGTGCTCTCGAAATTATGGGCGAACATTTGAAGCGATCGCAGATTAGCTAATAATAGATTTAATCTGATTTCATGAATTGGCCACAAAAAATGGCCAACATGGAAAACGGCGACGTTGCGCACCGAAAAAAACCACCTCGAAAATAAATTGAACGGGGAAATTGAGAGAAAAGAGCAGCAGAGGAAAAAGCCACTTCGCCACTGGCGATCGCAACAGTTTTACACACAAACAAAATTGATGGCAACATGCACTTTGAGGAAGATGGAGAGCGAGCGAGCGAGAGAGAGAAGACGAATGTTCGCGCATTCTCTGAAAGGATTCCAATTTCGGTTCATTCATTTTCCCTTGGCTCACGTCGAGCCACACTACTTTGTACTTGTTTGGTGTGTGTGAATCGTATGCAAAATGGACAATTACCAGTTAATTTTGCCGTTCAACGAGCCTAATGCTGCTGTCTTCTACCGCACATCACATGATCGGTTGCTAATGGCTAATAGCGCTATTTGCAGTCACTCTCTGGCCATCGAACCAACGGTACGCCAATTCAAATCGATTCGGTGTTGCGCTGGACGAAACAAAAATAATATGTTGATATAGTAGATTAATCGGTCGAAGCTTCGTCGATGAAAACAATCCAATAAAATCGAAATAATAAATAAATATCTGCTCGTTTCGTTCGCCATCGTTGCGAATAGAGCAGCAGCAGTCACGATTACACTAACGATATAGGACGATTACTTTATTTCGATATATCGTAGAAAAACGGAGAAAAAGAGATGGAAAGAAAGAGAAAAAAAATCTCTCGTTGGCTTTTACTTAACGCTGCAATCATTTCTTTTCTCTTTTTTCTTCTTCTTTCATTTTATTGCACTCGCTCTCTAATCATTGCATATTAGAGCGAGACGTGAATTGTGAGCGGGACACAATCGTCAATAAAGTAAATTCGTTTACATTACGATATTCTTTGGTGTTCTAGTTATTCCATTTGTTCACGTCATCCTAATGAACATTAAGCAACAAGTAAAAATAAGTCGTTTTATTGTAGCAAAGGTCCGCTCTCACACACACACACACATGCTCATTTCGGTTTGATGATGGTCATTGGATTGCGAATTACGAATTCCGATTCGTACGATGGCGAGCAAAACAAATGCATTCGACAAGAAAACAACAACAACAGCAACAGCAGCAACTGAAATGAGGAAGAATGAAACGAAATGAGAATGAAAAAAAAATACACAAAGCACACACAGACCGAACCGAGAGATGACCAAATGGAAGTGCACATTGTACATCGAATCGCTCACGCCACAAAACGTCAAACTCAATGCTCACAGCATAATAATTTCAAAGCGTTTTAATTGAAAATTCTTTTTTTGTTATTCTCATTTCTACATATTTTGTTGTGTTGCACCATTCTACTTTGGTACTGCTGTCGCTGCCGTTGCCGTCTTTCGCTCTTATTTCTTCAGTAGTTTTTATTCTTCTTCTTCTTCTTCTTTCGTTCAGTTTCTTCTGTCGTTTTTCGTTCGTTTCGTTCCACGTCTCGATGTTGTTGTTGCTATCTTTTTCTCCATTCATTCCGTAATTTTTAATTTTATTTAATTTTTATCTCCGTTGTTATTACATTGCAGATATGGCACAACTGATAAATATACGTCTGAATCGTGTCGATGCACAACCTTGGGGACTCCGTCTTCAAGGTGGAAAAGACTTTGGAACACCACTTGTTGTACAAAAGGTAAGCGATTTTTCTTGTTTTCATTTAAACTGGTGTGCGAGTGCGCGTACTCTGCCCGCCAATGTTTAAATTTCTTTTCTTCATTTGTTTGGAATTTGTTTGTCGTTGTTGTTTTTCTCTTTGCATCTTGTGTGCGCTCGCGTACGACCGCGACCGCATCTATATTTAAACATGTATGCAAACAGTTGCAATCATTGTATAAATATGAAATAAAACGTGAGACTATGGAAAATGATTTAATTTTGCATCATTGGCATCCACATCCCTTTGACCAATTCGTCGTCGTCGTTTTCTTTTCATATTTCTGCAACTATTACTCTTGTTGTTGTTTTTGTTTGCGTGGAAAATGTTAATGCGTTTGCGTTTGCATTTTCTCGCGCACTTGATTTTATCAGTTTAAGTGCAAGTCGCAAGTGGCAAGGTATGGTAATATAAAGCTTTAGTACGTGTCGACGATATAAAAAAAAAATGCTTTAAATCATGACCTTCCACAAAGTGACGATACCTTAATCAATTTTATGTTAGAGTCTCTGTTGCTCTTCCTCGTTCTTTCGCGCTCATTTACAACGTCTATTCTCATAATAACGATTGAGATGACAACACATTTTCCTTTCAAGTGGCAAATTTATCTGCGCTTTCACACAGCAAATGCCAAATGAAATGGGAGAAAAAAAATTACGATTTTATATATATATATATAAAATAGCAGCTAGAAATGGCTGTCAAAGATCCTGACAACTGTTTTCTTCATTTGAAAAGCGCAGAAAAAAGCAACGAGAGAGAGAGAGAGAGAAATAGAGAGAGAGACAGAAGAGAGCGAACGAAATAAATCCATTGATAGATTTACGATCTGCAGATAAATTAAAATTATAAATCCACAAACTAGTCAATTTTGCTCATGGTGAAACACACCAGTGAGTGAGAGAAATCGTTATCATTCAGAGAGCGACGCGAGAGAGAATCATTTCAAATTGCTTCGGTTTTCGCGCGCTGTTAACGATGTGAAACACAAGAAATAGAGTTCTATTTTTAAAAAAAAGACGATTTCAATCGGCATTGAGAAAGTGAGCCGAGAGAGAGGGAGAGAGGCAGAGAAAAAAAAGATGAAGTGAACAAATGAAAGAAAAATGGAGGAAAATCCTAGCGAGAAAGATAAAATGCGCGAAATAATATAATCTATTAAAATTCATTTTTACACCTACTGTGACATAAACGCAGATCGTCTTTCACTGAAGTTGAAGAACGAGAATATTTTCCGACACTCTTTTTTTTTCTTCTCCGTGCTTTTTAAATATATGGATACACTTCATTCGAACATTATCTCGTCTGTTCGCTCCTGCTTGCCGGCCTGCTTTTCGTTCCGTTTCATTTTCAGAACTCTGTTCGAACTATTAATTTAATGTATATCGTGATAGTCACGGTTGTTTATTTATTTAGCTCGTTCTTTGGAACGACTTGCAATGCGAGCGAGCGAGAGAATGTGTGCATGTGAGAGACAGAGTGTGTGTGACTGTTACTGGCTGGTTGACTTGCGCATCAAGTGTGCTATTTTTATTTGTGTGTGGATTTAATTTAGGGTCACATAAAATCCGAATTGATATTCTGAACATCTTCGTCTTTGAAATTGTGCATTCAAGAATTGCATTTGCTTTGAAAATGCTGTGTTGTGTAGCGGCAGCGGCAGCGGCGGCGGCGTGATCGCATCACTCTATCTCAGTAAAGTTTCTGTGAACTGAACGGGGGAGTAGAAGGAATAAACCGTCTGGACACCGTTTCTCTTGATGCTGATTCTTAATGCTGCTCCCACATCACAAATCCATTCAGCCTAGCGAAGCGTTGAAAATCCGTTATGTGAAAAGAGAGAGAGAAAAAACACCAACCAAAAATCCTGTGTAAACAGACAGCTTTTGCAAAAATATTTACGATTGAGAAAAAGTCTACGGAACGGATGTAATCATATCATGCAAACACGAATAAATAAATAATCAAAATTGAAATCAAAATGAAATCTTCTCTATGCGCCCTGCGCTGGTTGTGTTATTTTCTCTCACTCTCTCTCTCTCTCTCTGTCTTTCTCTTCATTTTGTAGATGTATGCAAAATAAATTTACATAAAGATGTGATTTTCGTGAGAGTAAACGAAATGCACAGATTGCATGGAAAATGAATCGAATGAGAGACAGAAAAAAGCAAGAAAAGGCAAAAAACGAAGGCGAAGACGAAGCCAGGCGATTTGATGAAAATACACGCTATTTAAAAATTAACAATTACACAATTGCACAATAGCATACGAATGCAAGAGGGGAAAAGAAAAGACACCCAAGTGCCAGCACGAGAACCAACAACAACGGTATAAGCCATCGGCCGCGTGTCTTGTCATACATCATGACAAATACGTGCATAGGAATCATTTAAATATCCAGTTTGAAGAATATATTACACACTCGGCACACAGCGCGCACAAATCTCTCCGGTGAGCGCGAGCGCGCGATCACACGAAGATAGTCTCAATCCCAATATGTGCTCGATGGCATCACTGGCGAAAACGAAACGAACAAACGAACGAACGTAAAAAAAAATGATAAGTCCAAGTTGTAATCGATGTGGAAAGAATTACTACGTAATTTATAAAGGAATAAATATGTGGTCACAGAATAATAGAGGACAGTAAAATACGGAACGAATATGCAAAAACGATATTGTATTTATGTATTACGTGATGGCAACCGTAGCCTATGATGTAAGCTGTCTCTCTATCTCTCTCTCTCTCTCTCTCTCTCGTTCGATTCACTCATAACAAACGGAACATGAAGATAGAACGTCACTTCAACCTGCTCCGATGATGCTTCCAAGACACGGACAAAAAGTGAATACGTTAAAAAAGCCCCAACAAATGCTAAATAAACCAAGCGATACATGGAGAAAAAAAAACGATCCAAAATGCTCATGAATTGCCTTATAGAAAATGATCGTCTTATGGCATAAAGTTGAGTATTCTTACCGAAAAAGATAGCAAAAAAAACGCAGACGACGATGATTTGACCTTGAGCAAAAAAAAAATCGTAAATACCATATTTCACCAAAACAAAATCAGCAGAAAATAATACAATATTTGCTCTTTCAAGCGCATCATCATCATCATCGCGTACAATTTTCTACACTCGAAGCAGAACAAAAAAGCACCAAAACCACCCGATACAATTCTAATGAACGAGCGAATGAATGCGCATCGAAACGCGATTGAAATTTCATGATGAGATTTCTTTCTCTTCACTTTGTTCACGCTCTCTCACAATTGTTCACATCATATCCGACTTGATTTAGCGCTCGAGAAAACGCGGATGGCAGCCAAATCGCGAAATTTATTTTCATACTTTGTTTATTTAAAGTCCTATGTGTTTGCCTGTTGAGATGTGCGTTTTTTTTTGCTTCTCTGCGTTCGACTTTTTTTGCGGCCAACTGTTAAATATTTCACACCCACAGCTTTTGAGAATAGGGAAGAGCAAGCGCAAAAAAAACAGCAACTATGAAAAAACCAAACGATCACATCGTGCAAACATACAGAGAGAGGGAGAGAGAGTGCGCAAGAGCGATTATCATACACGCATCCAACTTGTAATGATTCTTTTCTCTGTGTGTAGATATTCTTGGCACATTTAAAAATATTCAAATCAACTCCCTCGACGCGCAACCGATAAAATTGCTCGAGCAAGTGAATCAAATCGGCCGACTCATATTAGCGAGTATTGCAGAAAAAACCAAAGCTGAGCAAAAACAAAAAGAAGAACAAATCACTGAAATCTTTGTTGCGTCCTCACGAGAAGAAAAAAAAATCGTTGATGTATTGCGCAACTCTTCGATTCTCAATGAAAGTAGCAGATCGCGCCGAATTTCCGATTCGGAAACACGATGGAATTTTTCTTTCTTCGCTTTCAATAATAATACAACATAAATTATTATTCGGTTTGACGATTTGAACGGTCATATTCAGTAACGGTCAAATATTTTCATGATCGAGTTCACTCATTTCAATTTTACGCATTTTCTCCGAGTGATTGGTTCTTTTTTTTCTGAAATCACAAGACCATTCGCCCACTTGAGAAAATTGACAAAAGCAATTTTGAATTCTTCGGAAGACGAGAATGAAAACGGCCGGTATTTTCTCTTCTTCCATCAAGAATTATTTTAAAAATAGTATTCAGAGAATACGCATATGTGATATTAATAACAGTAAAACATATCATTACATACGTCGACTGATATGTAAAAATTCGACGAAAAAAAGAGTATGTTGAAAATTGTTGAAATGGAAAATAAAAGAACGATTCTGATATTCAAATACTTGAACAAAATATACTGATTTCTTTCAATGGCTCTATTGATTATTCCATGAATTGGAGCTTAGAAATTGATGAATAGGAGCCATATTTGTGCATTTTATGCTCATATTACTGTCTGCTTTAATGGTTTTTTCAAGTATCTGGATTATTGATTCGTGGTAGTGGAACCGAGGGAAAAAAAGAAGCAGAAAGAGTATAAGAGCGCGAATGCATTTAACCTGCGTGTTGTCAAACCATTAACTGGCACTGAACAATCACACTGTGCCCGCGATAAGGCACAATTAGGAGATAGAGCTGTTTTACTCTCGCAGAGCGTTTCCAAAATGCTGAATTCCATCATCGACATCGTTGGCTGACTGAATGGATCTTGTTCGTTTTTTTCTCTCTTCTGGAATGTATCAGGCCATAATAAGTTGATTCGTTTTTGATTGCCATTCGAATGCACGCAATCTAGTTCCGAAATGTTCCCAGAAATGTCACAAAAAACAGCAACAAAAAGCTCAAGCCACCGAGTGTGCGCGCGATATACCACAAGGCATGGATTGGCTTCGCTTGGCCTGCACAACAAATTCAAACAGCAGTAAAATCAGCTTATTGACACACATTAAGCCATTATTGGTTTATCTGGTTGCAAATTTTAATTTATGGCTAACGTATTGAG